AAGTTCACAATGAAAAAAGGATAACTTTTATAAACTCTATTATGTGATGAAGGCTATAGTGGTCAGTTATGTTAGATGATTTATAGTGGACTACTTTTAATCATCATTAGATTCATCTTATCTATACCATTATAAAATATAGGCTTAAATATGTTCAAATTATCTTCAATTAGGTCGATTTTCAAATTACTACTTATTAAAAAAAATTAATTATCTGACTAATTTTTTTTCTTCAATTTAGTACCTGATGTTAGTCTCCCTTCGTAAAATGATGACGTGGCTGACGGGCTGCCATGTCATCATCCAACAGTGTTTGTCACATCATCTAAAGGGCTACTACTCCTCCACCACGACCTCTTTCGCCTCAACCTTGTCGTCACTCCCGCCGTCGCCTCGATCCAGTCGCACCTCACCGTCCTGGAGCTTCTCTACATGAACAACTTCACCGCCACGATGGACAGCGCGTCCATAGCGCTAGATTTGTTACTGGTGGCACTGGAGCTTCTCTTCAAGGAATGCGTGCGTTGGTGCGTTGATTTCTTGGAAGCAGTGTCGTGGACGGACAAAGAAGATAAAAGTTGAAGGAACTCGTGGCTAGGGTTTCTCCTTCAGGAGAGGACTCGTGTGAGGCGATACTGCAAGGACTCGTGTCCTCCGCGATGAACAATTACGGCAACCCGACAGTCGTGAAGGCATTCGTCAGGAAGATATAGAGGCTGAATCTGGACAAGGCTTCCACACATGGGAAGCATCTTCCACGGCAAGGTTGAGGCGAAAGAGGTCGTAGTCGGTGGCGGTGGAGGAGTGGCAGCCCTTTAGATGACGTGGCAGACACTGTTAGGTGATGACGTGACAGTCTGTCAGCCACATCATCATTTAACGGAAGGAAATTAACGTCAAGTATTAAATTGAAGAAAAAAAATAGTCAGGTAATTAAAAAAAAATTAATAAGTAGTAATCTGAAAACCGGTCTAATTGAAGGTAGTTTGAACATATTTAAGCTTAAAATATACCTTCATTACGTTGCTTCTTCATCACCACCACCTCTTCTCTTCCTCCTACTCATCCTATCCCACCATTTCCTCTGCCATTGACATTGCTAATTTTGAATCTAGTGGATGATGTAACATTTTATGGCGGTGACCGGGAAGACAACCTCCAAAATTGCCCTTTTTCCATCCTTCCTCGCATCCTTCGTCTTGTTATGCTTGTGTGTTGTGCTTGAAATGACCTTGCACACAAGTTGTTTAATGAAATTCTCATAAGGGATGTAGTTGCTTGGACTGCATTGTGTGCATGGGATGGTTTGCTGGTGTCTTTGAAGCCATCAGTGAAGGTTTGAAGGAGGTGGAGATTATAAAGATGTTGACATCATGCATTACGACTTATGAGTTATTGAAGACGACAGTGTAGGTGGACATTGCATGACGATTAGAAACTATGTGTGGTGGTTGAAAGCAAGAGGTATATTGGGAAAAGGAAGAGACCGTATTGTTAAGGTGTTAGTAGGGTATAGAAAGTGCACCAAAATTATGTGATCCCTCATATTAATCTAATGACTATTGATTGTGGTGCATGGTAGATCATCTATGATAGTAGTTTATCTTTAAATTTCATCCTTTTACATATGTAAATGGATACTTAAGTAGAAAAGATAAAAGGTGAAGTATTACATTTGTGGGACTATTAAGAGTAAGATTGTTTTAAAAATAGAAATAAAAAATATAGTTATTAAAACAAATATATATATATAATACTATCTCCAATTTTATATTAAAAATAAATGATATTATGAGAGCATTATTTTGGTCATAATTATAAGAAGAGTTTAATGGAGATATATTATTAGTGTAAAAAGTTCCACACAATTATTCAATTATAATTTGCCATAATGATAAATTTATTGACTTTTTTAATAAGTATCTTAAAAGGCATACAAAGTACAAATTATGATTTAAATTAATTGATATTGGATGACCGTGTAAATCTGTTTTACTGTATTATTATTAAACCCTTAGGGGAAAAAAATCTTAAATTGCAAATATTGATTTTCCATGTTTGGTAGTTATTAAAATTTTTTTTTGAGAATTTTTATTTCAAGAAAAATTTTATGTATATAAAAAGACTACATTATCCCATTTTTAAACAAAAAAAAAATTTCCTTCTCTCTCTTTTTATTTTTCTTTCTCCCTTTCTTTCTAGCTCTCTCTCTCACTCTTGCTTAGTTGCTCCCCTTCTCTTTTCCTCTCTCCCCCTCCCTCTCACTCCCCCCACCCCCCTCTCTCCCTCTCCCCTCTTTCTCTCTCTCTCTTTTTTTTTTTTTTTTTTTTTTTTTTTTGTATCTTATTATTTATTGACCGTGTCAATTCTAATAATATTATTAAAGTATTTTTTTTGTACATTTTAATAATATTTGTTAACACCTTTTTTTATTTGAATGGAATGAAATGAAATAATATGTTTTTATTTTTCTTAATTATAATGTCATTTTTTTAATTTTTATTTATTTATATATTTAAATAATTTTAATAAATTTTTAATTTTTTAAAATAATTTAATATCATATTTGTAATAAGATTTTTTGAGTAAATAAATGTATCTAATGAGTTTATTTTAATAAAAGATATTTTTGTAAAAAATATTTATATACCCAGAAATATATTATTGTAATCAAATATGAAAATCTTTAATTTTTGAAAATATTGTATGATTATTCCTAGGAACTTTAATAAGTAACCAAACATATTTTAATTTCAGGAATCATGATTCTCAATATTTGTAATTTCTATAAATTATGAAAAAAATCTCTCCTTACCAAACACCCCCTTAAAAAATATAAATTTATTTTTAAATGTATTAATTTATTTAATATTTAATATTTTATTTTATTATGAATATATTAATAAGTCATTTAGTCATTTTTCATAAATTTTTATGATTATTAATGCATTTATTATATCATTAACACTATAAATATGTTTATTGGTTGAGAAATCATTTGTTAATTTATAAGCGATGTCTTTAAATATAACTAATAATTTTACGAATATTTTTGAGATAAAATTTTAAATTATAACATTATTAAAATTAACTAATCAAACTTTTATTGTTTTTACTATTTTTATGGATATCGATGAATAAGATATTTGTTTGATCCGTAGGAACAAATACAATAATAAATAAATAACAGTAATAAAAGAATTCGTATGCGACTTTGCACCAGTTTATCTTAAAGTGGGCCTGTAATATTACTACTAAATTTACAATCTGAAAATAAAACATATAGGGATAAAATAAATTATCGTTTGTTTTTTTTAATATTTACTTATGCTAAAATTTTCATAAATTCTTTTTTTTTTAATTAAATAAGTGTTTCATAGTCACTACAATAAAATTATTATTATAGACAATTATTTAACCATAATAAATTAATTATTTATATTTTATTACTTAATAAAAATTTTAATGACTACTAAAAATGTATTTACATCACACAAAAATTTATTATTAGTGATAATTATTTATTGAAAAAAATTTAAGTCTCATATTGATTAGAGATAAGATAATTAAAGAGTATATAAGTGGATGATAACTTTCACCTTATAAGTTTATTTTGTAGAGTTAAGTTAAACCTATACATAACTCATCGTTACCAATCTTAATAATGTTAAACTTAAGGGGTGTATAGCAAAAAACCCAAATCTCACATTGACTATAGATAAAATAATTAATTAGGAGATAAAATAATTTAAAAAATAAGGAAATTAAAGAATATAAAACTAGAGAACAACCTTCATCTTACAAGTTTCACATCAACTAGAGATGATTAAAGTAATTAATTATACACTTTACGAGAATGTTAGTAAAAAATATCAGAAAATTTATACATTTTTTCTGATCATTATAAGAGTATTTACCAACATGCCGACTATTATAAGGGTCTTTATCAACATGCAGAATCATTGCAAATAAATGTTTTAACAACATTGCATTCAATGATTAATGTGAAAAAAGGTCTTTATCAACATATAGAATAAGAGTTAATCACCTATATACTGCAAGTGTAAAGTTTTTTTTTACACGGGCAACCAATTATATCTTTTAATTGTGTCATGTTACTGTAAACACATTTACTTTTAATGGTGACATAACATAATTAAAAGATCTAATTGGTTGCAGTGTAAAAAAAACTTTACACTAACAGTGTATATGTGATTAACTCATAGAATAATTATAAAGTAAATATTTTAGCGTCACTGCATACAATGACTAATGTAAAAACACCAGTAAAAGATTTTGCAATAATTTTTATTGTTACTAAAAGTCATATTAAAATGTCACTAAAAATCTATTTTATTGTAGTGAGTTCAAAGTGTTTATTAGTCTTTATGTTCCTAGAAAATATAGAATCTTATATGTTAATCGTATTTATTATTATTATTAGTACTAAATTGTAGATATTTATTTGAGAATCTGTACAAAGTATAAAATAGAACTCATTCGGTGTATATGTATATTATATAAATAAAAATATTCAATTGTATTTCTATTACATGTCAAATTAATCTTTATATTTTTAATATTATTTACAATCTAGAAAAACTCAATCGTACAAACAATGAATTTGAAAAATAAAAAATAGTTTATCGAGGATAAGAGAGTTTTGGAGCGCGTTCAAATCTCTGAAGAAAATTAGTCAGTTGCTCATTGGCTTCACTTGCTTATAAAAATAAAAAAAAATCTGGAGAAACCATCCTCAAATATTGGGATAAAACGAAAAAAAGAATATCTAAATTTAATAATTTTATCTGTACTAATTAAAAAAAAAAGGTTGAAGCATGAAGCACATGTCGTATAAGTTACTACTAGTACTATTAGGATTTAATAGCCACTTTCCAGGCGCCACATAAATCCAAAATAATATATAAAATTGCAAATTCCCGGGTTAAAAACGTAGATTAATCCAAAACGGAGCGTTTTGATTGGACCACGTAGAAGAAACCCGTTAATCGGCGCATTAGAAGAAGAAAACGCAGCCAACCGTGTTTGCCTTTTCCACGACTGCGTCCTTGAAATACCTTACCATCCCTCGCAGTTTTCTTTTCTTGAGGAGGGTAAACTCGTAATGTTCGTCTCGATTGCGTTTCTATCCGAGCAAAATTATCTTCTCTTTCACCAACCTTCAATTAATTTCAGTTGCTTCATTCAGGTACGCAGATCTCAATTTTCACTTATTTGTGTGCTTTCCATTTCCCACCCCCTTTTTGAAGAGTCCTGAGCCATGTTGAATTAAGTGCTGTTGAAAACTCCGACGATTTTGTTATAATTTTGACTCGAATATTTAGGGTTTTGCTTCTTCTATTTTTTCTATTTTTTGTTGTTGTTGCTGATTTTGAAGTTAATTTGCTCTCAATTTAAATGAATTTCCCTGAGCTTAGCTCAAATGCTGAGAAATTGTCGAAGGAATGGAAGTTTGCATTTCCTTTCTTAATATTCTCTTATATGAGAAGACAGATGAAGATTGCTGTGAATTGTTGTGTTTCTTTGTTTGATAATGTTATCGTTTGCTTTCTTGCAGGTTTTGTTTTCTATTGACATTTGAAACGATTGTTGTTGTAATTCCATTGAGAAACCGAGGCATTGGATTGGAAGGGCGAACTGGTTTTCAACTGTCAACTGATTGCATTACGTTGTACGGCAATTTAAAGAATGGTCTGCTCAGGTTCAATACGGTTGTCTCGTGACGTTAGGCTCAGCAGTGATGCTGGATTCTGTAGTTTCCATCATGTGCGTGCTTTTTTGAATTTTAATGTTTAGGTAATTCCCTATTGTTTTCCTCTTGCAATTGAAGAATGCTGAGTTTTATTTCCATGTCATTTGACAGAATCGGATGGGGCCCATGGGGGTTGGTCGATTACATTTGGTCACCATAAATCTTTCACCATGTAGTTTGGTATGGCTTTTGTGAAATTAAAATTTCATGCATTGTCTTTCCCCTCCCCTTGTTTTATTTATGTATGTTTTTGATGGATCTATCTAATCCTTTTCTGCTTGGATTCCTCTGTGCTAGCGGTGCACATGAGCCAGGTGTAATTTGGCTTGATATTTTGATTGAACCAAATTTTTAGACTTGGTTCTTTCCTGACTGGGTCTAAAATTAGGAAAAATGTGCAAATTTGATGTTATTTACTACAAATGCATAAAATTTTAAAAGTAAATAGTAGTATTTTTATAATATATATTTTCAAACAAATTATATCAATAGTTGTTTTAAATAGCCGCCATAGTGGAACTATATCAGGTTTAAAGAGTGACAAAAAATATATCAGGTTTAATTTTTAGAACCCAATCCCTGCCCCATTAGCTTTAAGACTAGTTGGGTCTTGAGTATCCTTACTCGTTGCCCACAATTGTTTTGCTTTATATGCACTAATATTGATCGTGTTTATTTAATCTAAATCTATGAAGATCTTTCTTTTGGAAATAACAGAAGCAAGACTCTTCAGCACTCCATCTTTTAAGAAGACTACATGCCCCAATAAGGCATGTGCCTTCCAGATGTAATGTTTTCATATGTCGGTCTGTCCTAATACCAGGTGGAGGGAGTGGGACTCCACTCATGAAATCTGCCAGTGTTATTTTAACAAGGTTGGCCTCTCTCTCTTCCTTGTTAATTAAGAAAAGTTCATCAATTTTGTGGATATGCATGTTTGTATTTATATATGGTTTCTTACTTTGTCATCCTTTTCATTTTGCTGTAAAATAAAATTTGTGTTTGTTAACTTGTTTACTCTTAAAGTTTGCTAGCCTTTCTCATAGTGTTATTTATTAGCTTGTTGATATATATTTTGCATTAACTTTAACCTGTCAAATGATCTGTTTCTCTTCTAGGAATGAATATAAATATAAATTGGCATTGACTGTACCTACCAAGAGTTAAATTAACTAATTTATGAACTTGTGAAGTATTTTGTGAGATGATATGAAAATGTGTTTAGTTTGTACTTTTGTATTATTTCTCAAAGACTGGTACCAATAATAGGTGCTATTTTTTTTATTATACTTGTTGCTTCTGTTTCTCTTTTAATCCGTTGTTTAATACATAACCTCTATAGAAGCATTTATTTTTAGATATTTATGCAGGTCATACAATGCTTTACAAGGAAACCCTGTTTTGGTTCAATTGCTCCCAGCCCTTGGTATCATTGCCTTTGCTGTTTGCGGGCTTGAGCCACTCCTTCGTCTCAGCAGGATTTTGTTCCTTCAAGTAGTTACCATCCATTTTTAATCATTCTTCTATCCCAATTCTGTTTGACTAATATATTTAATACCTTTTCTGAATTATGAAAAACTATTTTCAGAGAACTGACAGTAGTTGGAAGAAAAGTAGTTCGCGATATATTATGACATCGTATTTTCAGCCGTTGCTGTTGTGGACTGGAGCAATGCTCGTATGCAGGTTTGTTTCTAGGCCAATGTTAGACTCAAGAGTTTGAACACAAAAACTAAAAAATTTTACTGAAAAACTTCTGGAATTGAACCAGAACATGCAGTTTTGAACACTATCACAAACATAAGTCCTAGCAAGGAGTCTCCTTAAAACAAACGTCAGCAATTTAACACATAATTATCAGGAAATTGTTTCATATCCTATTTAAGAAAAGCACGCGTAACTCCCATAGGACACATCATATAACTGTCCTTCAGTTAGTTTACACATAACTTCCATTCAACACATCACATCATTCCTATCAGCTGACAAGTATATCTCTTGAGAAGTTCTATAGGTGTTGATCATAGAATTATTTGTTTCAGGGCATTAGATCCACTAGTCCTACCATCTGAGACCAGCCAGGTTGTGAAGCAACGGCTGCTGAATTTTGTGCGATCGTTGTCAACAGTGATTTCATTTGCTTACTGTTTATCAAGGTATTGATTTCTGGAAGAAGCATTACCAGTTTATAAGTGGTTTTCTGTATTTTATTGTTATCTTAGACATTAGTTCTAACTTATGCTTCTCCCTGACCCCCCCTAATGCTGTAATCATTTTGTATTTTATGGTTTTCTGCTTGTACCATTCATGAAGAGATAGTGTTTTTATCTTTTTCTCCTTTTATTTTTAGCTATTTTTCACTATTAGGTGTATTGGGTCCTGCATTGTGTTTAAATTATAATGTTATATGGTTGCATTTCTTGTTTTCAGCTTAATTCAACAAGCACAAAAATTCTTTCTGGAGGCAAATGACTCCAGTGGTGCAAGAAATGTATGTTTCTGTTATATATTCATATACTACTATTGTCTGTTCTTGTCATTTTTCATTTGTTGTGTCAACAACATTTTGCTGCAACTATACTGACGGACTAGTTATTTTTTGTTGTCAGAGCATTTGAATGAAGCCTTAGATTTTATTTATTTATATTTTTTAATATAATTAGAAATTAAAATTAAGAATATACTCGATGTATAAGAATGATGAAATTGATTTTTTTTTACCCTTGTTTTTCAGTAATGGATTGAATGTGTTTTATCCAATCCTTTTTCATTTCCTGTTTGGATCTTTCTGTAAGGGAACCCAAAGTTGTTCATTCTTTTCAGTTTCTCATTTAGGAAAAATTGATTGACAGATGGGCCTTGATTTTGCTGGGAAGGCAGTATATACTGCTGTATGGGTTGCTGCTGTGTCATTGTTCATGGAGTTGCTAGGTTTCTCCACACAGAGGTGGTTGACTGCTGGTGGTTTGGGTACCGTATTGCTCACTCTTGCTGGTCGTGAGGTACAGCATTTTTTCTTTTGTATTGGCTACTATTATGGTTTTTACTGGATGCTAGCATTGTTTCTTTTCATTGTATATTGTGAATCCATCCTCAAACCAACTTAATCAACTCTGTAAGAATAAGTCTTTTAGGTGTATGGGTAGTGGCCATATTCACTGTATATTAATAAAATAATTATTTAATACTCTTTTTTGCTGTTGCCATTCTAAGTTCATGTTTGTGATTAATCCAGATATTTACAAACTTTCTTTCAAGCATAATGATTCATGCAACTCGTCCATTTATTGTAAATGAGTGGATTCAAACAAAGATTGAAGGATATGAGGTTTCTGGCACAGTCGAGGTTTGTATCTCTACCTTATAAGGAACTTTGACAAGTATAATAAATATCATGCTGGTCCAGTAAATATATATATTTGATTGATCTCCACAGTCATGCTTTACCTTATCAGGAACTTTGACAAGTATAAGAAATATCATGCTGGTCCAGTAAATACATATTTTTTGATTGATCTCCACAAAGATGACAAAATAGAAGAATTATTACCAATAGTAAATTTTCTTACTTGTGTAACTTTAATAATATTGTATTCAATTTTTGTTTATTCTCCAGCACGTAGGCTGGTGGTCACCAACCATTGTGAGAGGTGATGATCGGGAGGCAGTTCATATTCCTAATCACAAGTTCACCGTAAATGTTGTGAGAAATTTGAGCCAGAAATCTCATTGGCGTATCAAGAATTACATTGCTATCAGTCACTTGGATGTTAACAAAATTAACGTGAGCATTATTGGTTCAACTTCTTGAAAAACATGTCCTAGTATTTTCTGTTGTGCATTTTTTATGTGAAAGCTGATGTTATCTCCATTCCATTTTCTTTATGCAGAATATTGTAGCTGATATGCGCAAGGTTTTGTCAAAAAATCCTCAAGTGGAGCAGCAAAGATTGCATAGAAGGGTGTTTCTGGAGAGTGTCAATCCTGAAAATCAGGCTCTTATGGTATGTGTCTGTTATATTCATTTGTTCATTTTGTTATATATATATATAGCAAACTTCCTCGGCTTTAAGTTTGTAATTTTTTATGTTTTCTGCAGTTTCTCAAGAAACATGATTCTTTAAAATATATTTTTTAATTGTCTTTTCTCAACTTACCATTCTCTTACTAATGGAATTATTTGTTTCAGATATTAATATCTTGCTTTGTGAAAACTTCTCATTTTGAAGAGTACCTTTGTGTTAAGGTAAAATGATACCCACGGCAATTAAAGTTGCTTACTGTGGAAACTTTAAGTTTTGTAGATGTCATTAAATTCTATTGATCATTATTCTTTATGTTCGTAAGGTTTTCTTTTTATAATGTGATTTACATGTAACAAAACAGGAGGCAATCCTTTTAGATCTTCTCAGAGTTGTCAGTCATCATCGAGCCCGGCTAGCCACTCCCATCCGCACAGTTCAGAAAATATACGGGGAGGCTGACTCAGAAAATATACCTTTTGGTGACACCGTTTTCACTCAATCCAGAGCAGCAAATCGCCCATTCCTACTGATAGAACCACCATATAAAGTTAATGGTGAAGATAAAGCTAAGCCTTCAACTCGTTCGACTCGTCCAAATGAGGAAAAAGATTCCAAGATTGAAACAATGGCATATGACATCAAAGGGGATGAGAATTTTGCAGCGACATCAACCTCCTCACCTGATGCAAACTCCAAGGATAAATTCAAGTCAAATTCTGAACCCCAAATCCAGAATACGAGTTCTGATAGTTCAGCTGCCAAAACCATACAGCCTAAAAAGGAAAATGCTGGAGATGCAGGAAAGGGAAATACAGTTCCTGCATCTAAAAGCCTTGCACAAAGTGCTGTACCTGAAACTTCTCCTGTTACTACCCCGGAGACCATTTCCGCCACTTCTTCACAGTCAAAGCAAGATGAAGAGAAATCTTCTGTCTCATCGTCATCAGTCAGGCCTTCCTTGGAAGAGAACATTCTTCTTGGGGTTGCCCTAGAAGGCTCAAAACGAACTCTTCCAATTGAAGACGAAATGACTCCATCTCCTATGCCTGCAGAGTCACAAGAATTTGCTGTCCAAAGGAACGGGAGTGGACCTCCTGCTAGCAAGGATAAGAAGGATAACCAGATGTCTTCATTTCCAACTGGTAAGCAGAATGACTAGATTAGTAGCTAAATAAGTAGAGTAGTTGATATTTCAGTATATACCTTCAGTAGAAGCTTAAAAATGATCCAGCTGTCTTTTTATAAGTTGGAATTGTGCATTGTATTCTCTACCTAATTTCCCATGTATGTACATAATTATCAATTCATGGTTCACATAACTTTTCAGAATCTCTGGATTATCATATATACAATCATTTTGTATTATGTTCTCTCTTACGTGATCAGTCATCCCTCTTTAACATACTCATTAGTGTTGTTCTGACTTTTCTCTTATTGTCCATTTAAAATATAATATTAGTTGTATAGCAATATGATAAAACTTTTCTTTTTAAGTTTGATAGGAATTTTGCGGTCCCAAATAATTCTTGATGTCGTTTTCGATTTTCAGTTTTAACCACCCAACTTGTATTATGTGAGTAATAATATATTTTTCAAATTTTACCTAAACATATTCGTCTTATTTTTTGCTAAAATTACAAAGTATATATATATATAT